GCAGGAGCGGATGGGATAGTCAACGAGTTCATGAAGTGTGGGGGGAAGGGGATGATCCAGCTGATGGTACTGCTGTACCGTTGGGTGTGGAAGAACGAGTGTACGCCAAGTAGATGGAGGGAAGGAGTGGTTGTGAACTTGTTCAAGAAAGGAGACAAGACTGACCCAGGAAACTACAGGGGGATCACACTGTTGAACACAGTAGGAAAAGTGTTCTGTAAGCTGCTGAACGATAGGATAGTGGGAGTATTGGAGAAGGAACATAGCATTAGTGAGGGCCAGGCAGGTTTCCGCAAGAAGAGGGGGTGCGTAGACCACGTGTTCACGGTAGGGAGAATCATCCAAGGTAGAAAGAGGGCGGGAAAGCCGACGTACTGCTACTTCCTGGACGTGAAAAAGGCATACGACACCGTATGGAGAAATGGGTTGTGGAAACAACTGTCCAAATACGGGATCAAGGGGAAAATGTGGAGAGTGCTGAATGAAGAAGATGACAGAGTGTACGAAAGCGCGGTCATGCGACAGTGGTATTTTTCCTGAGGCCGAATTTCGTTGTCCCTCCATAACTTTTGACTGAAGTGGAGAAAAAAAACAAAAAAAAACAGGTTATTAACGCCCGCGAAGAGGCGCAAAAGAGTAGCGAGTCGGAAAAAAAAAAAAAGGGAAAATTATGCCTTTCGCCGGGGCTCGAACCGCCGTCCTGGGTCATTTTTGCACCATTTTTGTTTTTTTTGCGTCGATTTTTTTTGTTCTTTTTCTTTTTTTTGGTTGCAAACATGCGTCACGTCGAGTATAACACCCCCAAACACCGCACAAACGCAGGTACCCTTCACCTACTGTACTGTATCACCCTACAGCAACTTTTGGCAACGAGCAACCGCACAAAATACGTGTNTTTTTGGTTGCAAACATGCGTCACGTCGAGTAAAACACCCCCAAACACCGCACAAACGCAGGTACCCTTCACCTACTGTACTGTATCACCCTACAGCAACTTTTGGCAACGAGCAACCGCACAAAATACGTGTATTCACACACAAAAAAAAAAAACAGGAAAAAAAACTGAGAAAATGTGGCGAAAACAGGGGGGAAAAAGTCAGTGCTGGACAGCACAAGGAATACAAACGCATGCCTCTCTACTTCCTCCACGTGTTCGGCGTCGGGCGCCTGTGGGACTTGAATTTCTTGTAGATCTCCTTGCCCGTGGGTCCAAGTGCACGTGCCTTCAGGTACACGAGGGCATGCGTGTAAGCCTTCTTGCAGTAAGCCTGGACTACCGCAATGGCCTGTCTATCCTTCTCCGGTCTAAAGCTCAACGGCTTTGACGAGCTCCTCGCGCAGCACGGTAGCTCTTTCTCGCCGGGCCCTCTTTCCTAGGCTTCCTTTCTTCCTCCCGGCGCCCTCTCTGGCGCCGCCGCACCCTTCTCGCAACCTTTCGGCGCCTCCAACACCAGGTTCTTGAAGAGAACCAGGTGCGGGAGCTGCAAGTCTGACACCCGTTGTAACCCGGGAGGGTGGTTGCTGGATCGCTTCATGCTGGATGGTCTTTGCTGCAAGGTCTAACCATGTTTGCGCTGTGATGGTTCTGCATGCTTGAGACTCGGCGGCTCTGTCTCTGCGACGTGCACTCTTCGTGGTGAACGTCCGGCTGTGCCACTGAAGTAACGGCTGGCCGACCTGGCTACTGTGTCGTGCTTTCAGACCAATGCGGTACTTTCGTGGAGCCCCTCTGTGCACCTCGAGTTCTCCGAGCTCGTACTCAGTAGGCAGAGTTCCCTTCACATGCAGCAGCGCATCTGTATCGGGATCCATGGTCCCGCCCAAGATCTGTGGCGAAAGCGTACCCTGCACGCCCTGAGAAATTTGAAATTTTCCTCTGCTATGCAGACGCTCGGAGGTTCCAACCAAACGTTNCATGCAGCAGCGCATCTGTATCGGGGTCCATGGTCCCGCCAAAGATCTGTGGCAAAAGCGTACCCTGCACGCCCTGAGAAATTTGAAATTTTCCTCTGCTATGCAGACGCTCGGAGGTTCCAACCAAACGTTTTTAGAACCCATTTTTTGCGGGGATTCCAAAAATGGAACTTTTTTTTTGCGGCAAAAAAAGTCTTAGTCGTCGATTGCTCGTTTTTCCTATTTCTCGCCGATTCTATGAAAACGGCCAACCCAGCGTAGCTCGTGCCCATCTTGTTTGCCGCAGCCAAAAGTGTGTTCATTCGAAAGCTCTCGTTCATAGCTTTCACATGATATATAGTTTGCTGTGTGAATCGTCTGCATAGTGGAGATATTGATCAATTGTGCCTGGGCTGGGGGCCGGAAAAATACCACTGTAGACGGAGAACTAACTGTCAAAATTCTTCGACATTGAGCAGGGGGTCCCACAAGGTTGCACGCTGTCCCCAACATTGTTCCAGGTGTTCATCAACGATCTGTTGGAAGTCGTAGAGGCAGTCCGGAAGGGAGTAAAAGTAGGGGAAACGGAAACAAACGTCGGTG